CATCAGCTCCACCAGCTGAAGCACTGCTCATTCCTCGGTTTGGAGGAGAAATCCCAGGCCCTGCTCGAACTGTTGCTATTTTTTGAGGCAGGAATGTTGTCCACATTTTCCTTGAAGTCTGCAAATCTCTGGGGGCAGAAGGATAATGAGGGAAGCCAGGGTGTGGGATCTCTGAGGTCCGAGTGTGGAAAAGTCATCAGTGTCCTGGACTTGGTGCTGCTAGAGCTCCAGACACAAATTCCCACTCTGGAGTTTGTCTCCACCTGGGACAGGCATTGTTGTGCCTGATTGTCTCCTGCGGTGGTACAGGATGTTCCTGTCCTTGTCCCAGCCTTCGCTCTCCTGACAGACAGGACTGAGCTTTCAGGACAGACACTGGGCCCTATTTTTGCCACTTTAAATGCATTTCACTGTTTTTTTCCCTGGGTTGCTCAAGAAACTTGAGGTTTTTCAGTGCTATCATCTGAGCTTTGCCAGCAGCGACATCGGATCAATATCCGTGTCACTTATTTTTGTCCTGTTCTACAGCAAATTCTGATGATTTCAGTACTCTGCTTTTCTGTTTCTTAGGGATTTTTTTTCCCTTGGCAGCACTAACAAATGACTCTATTTTTCTCTGAGACCCTGCCTGAACCAGTGTCTCCTGTCATCTGCTGTTGTTCCTCTATTGGAATCCCATCCGTGCCGGGTGAGCAGTCTGGTGTGTGGAGTTTCCTTGTGGAACAACCAGAAGATTATTTTTTTTTTTTTGCAGCCTTTTCTCTCATGTGTGGTGTTGAACTTTTACATGATTGGTTTATTTGCTCACCAGCACACTGGATCTGGCTGCTCTCTATAGAATCTAAACTCTATTTTCTGGAAGTTTTTGGAGTTGTCCAGTATTATCTCACTGGTACAAAACCACTCTGCAAAACCAAGACTGTTCATACCTCTTAATAATAAAATCCAAGCAGCAAGCTCCTTTTCAACAGGAGCTTTTCAGGTTGGTGAATAAGAAATTTAACTGTCCTTAAATGGTTTATGGATCCAGCATGCTGTTCTCCATCTCCTCTGGACTCGGGTCTTGCAGGAGCTCAGGTACCTCCTGGAATAGCTAGCTGTTACCTGCTGGGTGGACTCTCTAAGTCATAGAATCATGGAATGGTTTGTGTTGGAAGGGACCTTAAAGACAATTTAGTTCCACCCCCTGCCACGGGCAGGGACACTATCCCAGGTTTCTCCAAGCCCCATCCAACCTGGCCTTGGACACTTCCAGGGAAGGGGCAGCCACAGCTTCTCTGGGCAACCTGTGCCAGGGCCTGCCCACCCTCATGAAGAGGAATTTCTTCTGTATATCTAACCTAAATTTCCCCTCATGTTTGCTTAGTTGGATTAGTCTTTGTTGGCACAGCCTTGCTGTCCTCCCTGGGACACAGGTGCTGGCTCCTCTGGATCACCTGCTGGATGTTCTGAGGATGGGATCTGGGTGGAGAAGCTCTTGAGCAGAGCACTTGCTGTGCCTTCCTCAGTAGGGCCTGTGCAGGCAAAGCTTCTCCACATCCACCTCTTACCTCCCTGTTCCAGGCTCTTCCAGGCTGAGGAGGGCTGTGCTGGCACAGCAGAGGGGCCAAGGCCAAGTCAGGGAGGGTCTGGAGTCTGCCAGTGGGGGTAGCTCATGGTGCAGGTTGTGCCCTGTCCCACCTGTCACACCTTGGGGTTCCTGCCATGAATTGGGATGTCCTTTCCACCTGACCTGGTCAGCGAGCAGAGTCTCACTGTGCAGAGCAGCCAACGCTCACTCTGTGCGCCTCTGGGACGAGGGCTGGGGGAGAACAGGAGGGACACAGCTCACACATGGCTGCTGGGGTGCTGTGGGAAGGTGCTCGTGGCGTGTGGCGGTGGCCAGAGCGGTCCCCAGGGAGTGCCAGCACTGGCTGGTGTGTGACTGTGAGCAGTGCCAACCTCTGTCCTGCCTGTTGCAGAGGGGAAGGACACCATTGGCTGCGACCTTCTGCTCAACCCTCCGGGGAGTTCAGACCAGGAGGAAGAGGAGCAAGAAGCAGACAACTTCATGTTTGAGTTCTCAGACAAGCCACTGCTTCCCAGCTACAATCTCCAAGTGTCCGTGTCCCGGGGGTGAGTATCCTTCCCTGGAGCAGAGAGCAGTACCAAGGGTGGCCACAGCCCTGGCACAGGTGGCAGCATGTCCAGCACATCAGTCACAGCAGGGTGGAGAGCAGTTTGTGCATCTCAGGCAGTTATTTTCAGAGAATAAACACAGAATCCCAGAATGGTTTGGGTTCGGAAGGGCCTTAAAGCTCATCCCATTCCAACCCCCTGCCATCCGCCTTCCACTATCCCAGGTTGCTCCAAGCCCCATGCAACCCAGACTTGGACACTTCCAGGGGTGGGGCAGCCACAGCTTCTCTGGGCAACAGATGGGAAGTTGTGGCTGCAGCGCTGGGGACGTTGGGGAAGCAGCGCTGCCTCGCTTGGGGCAGCCTGGCATGTTCTTAGGGAGCAGGAGAGGCTCATCAGGGCTCCCCCCACGCAGTCCTGCTCCATGGCAGGCACATCCCGCTGCCATGGGTGCCCCCGTGCCATGCCGGTCACGAAGCTCCCCTTTCTCCTCCCTGGGAGGTGGGCACTGTGCCTGCAGCCCCCTCCACCCCTAACCCACTGTCCTTTTGCTCTCCTCTCAGGCCCTGCAACTGGTTCCTCTTCTCGGACGTGCTCAAGCGGCTGAAGCTGTCATCCCGCATATTCCAGGCCCGCTTCCCGCACTTGGAGATCGCCACACTGCCCCGGGCAGAGTTCCAACGCCAGGTGTCCCTGAGCCAGGTGCTGGCGCAGGAGGAGGTGCCGGCGAGCCCCGAGCCAGCGCCGGGCACAGCAGAGACTGTGGAGCTGGTGCACTACGAGCCCGAGCTGCTGCAGCTGCTGGGCTCAGCGGTGGAGTACCAGGCCTGGAGCAGCTGACGGGGACGGGTCGCTCCCGGCATCACGAGGCAATAATAAGGACCAAGGGGAAGCAGCTCTCTCAGCGCCAGCATCAGGGACCCGAGTCTTTGGGCAGCCACTCCTTGTCTCCTCAGAGTCCCCTGCAGCTGGGGAGGGAGGACCCTGGCCTCCAAGGACATCCCGGGATCCCTTGGCCACGAGCAGTGGCGGTCGCTGCCGCCGCCACCCCATCCAGCCCCAGGGGGTGATGGAGCCCCCTCCACGGGGCTCACGGGGCAGCGAGGGGTGGTGGGAGCCACCGCCCCTCCCCGCTGGGCCCCCAGGAACTGCGCCTCTCCGTTTGCCCTCCCCCTCCCGATGTCTTCCATAGTATTTATTTAATTAGTATTTAATTTGTAATGTTTTCTTTGTTTTTGCTGAGTCTGTATCACTGTGATGGTGAGCTCTGGGCCAGGGGATGAGGCCGTCCCCCAGCCCCCCTTCAGTGCACCCCGAGGCCGGCCAGACCCAGAGGGTCCTGGCCCTTGCAGCCTGGGGACAGCCCCTTCCCTTGGCTTTGGAGCTGGTTCCTGCTGCCGGCGCTCAGCCCCAGCCAGGAGCCAGCCCCGCTGCTCCATCCTCTCCCGGGCTCTTTCCTCCATCTCATTCATGCTGCTGCTCCCCGTCCCAGGCGGCTGCCGCTCGGGCAGGGACAGCCCGCGGCCCCCAGCACACCCCACGCTTCGGCAGCTTGTCCCCCTGCCCCAGGGTCTGTCTCCAGGGCAGAAGCCCCCTCCTTGCCCCACTCCCCGCCGGTGTCCCCAGGAGCATCTCTCCGGGAGGGAGCGGGCACGGGCAGGCTGCTCCGCTCCGGGGCCGGTACAGTTTTATTGTACAGGTGCTAACAGGACTGAGGACGGGACAATCGGGGGATTTCCGGCTCTCCCCGCTCCCCAGCGGGAGCCTTGGGTGGGGGTTTTTTGTTGGTTCGTTTTTTTCTTTGTGTTGTGTTTCTCCCCAGCCAGGGCAGGCGTGTCCCCCCCTTGGACCCTCACTGCCAGCCTCCCGCTGGGGGCCCGGCAGCACCTTCTTTAAGCCGAGGGTTTTTTGCCTTTGGGTGTGTATTCTGGTTGCTCTTTCTGATTTCTGTTTTATTATATGCAGCAACAGGCTGTGGTGTCAAAAACACTGATGTACAGAAAAAACCTGCATCAGGCCCAATGTCTCCTGCCCTTTCTTCTGTGTCCTGTGTCTGGGCAGGTTTCCACGTGTGTCAACTCGAGTCTGTGGCTCAGAGAAGGGAGAGGGTTGGCTGTTGGGTCTGCAGGGTCCATGTCTCTGCACAGTTTTGAGCCAGCAAAACTTGGGGGCACTCTGCTGGCTCCTGCCTGACCCTGGTGATGGGAGCTCTGCAGCCAAGCCTGGCCATGCCCAGATGCCACCACTGATGGCTGGGTAGCCCTGTCTGCCCTCAGCACCCCCCCAGCCCCATCCTTGGGGCAGCCAGTCCCTGTCTGGCTTCATTCACCCCTGCGGGAGCAGAGGGAGCTCACGGGGCTCTTCGAGGATTTCGTTATTCTTTTTCCTTGTTAATGGTACTCCCCGATGGAGGTAAGCTTTGGAAGGAAAGCTTTGGAGGAAAGCTTTGCCTAGGCACCACCAAGGATTAACTTCCCCAGGGGGATACAGTGCTGCTTCCACTGCTCTCAGCACCGGAGCAGTCAGGGAGGGTCCCAAACAGAATGGAGAGGGGCTCGTGCTCCTCCCCCCACCATGCTGGGGAGGTTCCTCCTGAGGCCGAAGAGGTGCAGGGGAGAGCAGGAGTAGGGAAAACTCACCAAATTTGTGGTCTGAAATGTTCTCTCATAGGCAGACGGGTGGAAGGGAGGCACCTGAAGGGATTCAGCCAGGCTGAGGGCTGGCCGCCGGCACCGAGCCCGGGGATCTGAACCAGAGGAGCTGGAGCAGCGGAAGGCAGGGGAGAGGCCAAGGGCACGGGCTCTGCTCGGCTGAAGGAGCGCAGGGGCCTGCCGGCACGGGCCTTCCCTGCACCCGCCTTCCTCCCGATGGACCAGGCACGATGGGAGAGGCGAAACCTTTTATTAACAGTCGCCGTGGCCAGTCACACACTCGTCTCGATGAGCCACGGCCACGAGTACGGCGGCGGCTCGGTGTCCTCAGCGGCGGGGAACGCCGGCGGTGCCGCCCGTGTCCCCGATCCCGCCGTGCCGCCCCGGAGATGCTGCTCCGGCTCGGAGCAGCATCCATCCCCGGGAACCCGCCGGGCACCGCGCTCGGACCGTCCCGCCCGGCAAGGGCACCGCAACGCCCCGCGCAGAGCCCCGAGCGCCCTCCGGAACGGGGGGAGCCGCTGCCGACCAGCCTCGGGAGCAGAGCAGAGCTCTGTGGTGGAGAGGGCTGAGCTGAGCGTTGAGGGGCTGCGCGGGACCGGGGACTCGATCTGTGTCTCCTGGTCGATGAGCTGAGGAGCAGATGAAGTCTCCTCTTCTTGTGCTGGAGTTTCAGTCTGTGTCTCCCGGTCAACCAAGAGGGGAGCAGCTGAAGTTTGCTCCTCTGTCTGTGTCTCCTGCTCAGCGCGTTGAGGAACACCTGAATCCACCCCTTGCTGGGGGATCTCGGGGTGGGTTTCCTGCTCAGCGTGTTGAGGAACAGCTGAATCTCCCCGTTGTGCTGGGGTCTCAGGCTGGGTTTCCTGCTTGCCACAGTGAGAGACCTCTCGCCGTGGGCCGGGGGATGATTTCGCCTTGTAGGCGTGAAAGGGGAGAGGGGGATTGGCAGGGCTGGCCTGGCTCCTCCCAGCAGCTGCTGCTGGGAGGGGGATGCGGGAGATATTGTGTCCGCAGCGCTGAGGCACAAGGGGAGCTTCATCCGACCATCCGTGGTCCTTGTCCTGCTGCTGGGGCTCCGGCTCCGCCACCCCACTGCAGGCCCAGCAGCTCTTGACCCGCCGGCGCTGGCTGCGGGCGGCGGTGCTGCTGGCCGGGAGCAGGGGACGGCCGGGACAGGTCCTGCACCACTGCGGCCCTTGGCCCCGCGCCCCCTCGGCCAGGATGGAAGGGCTCCTGGTGCTCCTGGAGCTCAGCGTGTCCTCACGGAGGGGCTGTCCCTGGCTGTCCTGAGGCTGCCGCTGGTGCGGGCGGGAGGACGGGAATGGAGGCGGCTGCTTTGGCACAGCGTTGGCACGACTGGCACCATCCCACCTCTGGCCTCTGCCCCCTGCCCTGTCTCTCAGCTGGTGCCCCTCTTTGGGGCGCGGGTTGGTGTTCTTCTTCTCCATGGTTCCTTCCCTGCAGGTGAGAGAAGGAAAAGAGAGCTGTTGCCCCCCGAGCAAGGTGTTCTGCTCTGCTGGAGTGGGCACCCCGGGGGGGTCCTTAGGTACCCCATGGGCAGGGCAGGGCCCTGCAGTGTCACAGGGGCCCCTTCCTTCATGCCACAAGGCCCTGCAATGTCACAATGGATCCTTGGTGTCATCAGGCCCCACTGGGTCACAGTGGCCCCATGGCTCTCCGAGCCCCTGCATCACTCAGGGCAGTTGCCAGGTGTGTTGGGTGTGCATGGCCAGCTTTTGGTAGAGGGGTGGGAGCAAACTGCAGTGAGAAGCTTCTCCTGTGTCTGTAGGAGGCAGTTCCAGCAGCTCCAGGACAGACCCTCCACTGGACAAGGCTGAGCCCATCAGAGATGGCAGTGATACCTCGGGGATAAGGGATTTAAGGATGAAGAAAAAGTTACTGCATAGATGGAATTGGGTCCCGAGAAGTGTGGAGTGTGCATATGGGAGAGGAGCAGCCCTGCAGACCCCCAGGGCAGTGCAGGAGGTGCTCCAAGCACCAAAGGCGAGGTTCTCACGGCTGCTCTTGGCACCTTTTGGGAGACCAGCAGCACTAACTTGCTGCTGACACCACCCCGGTGGTGGAATGTTCGGTTCAGGCCCAGGGAGCTCTTTGGCTCCTCCAGGTTTGCCAGGGCTCCTGCGGGATGTAGGTGTCATGAGGTGGCTGCTCTGTGGGACAGTGTGGCTCCACCCCTGCCCTTCCCAGCCCTGTCCTCAGAGCCCAAGTGGCACCTGGTGCCAGCTCTTGTCACACCTGTATTCCCTCACCCAGGTAACCTGTGCATGGGGGCCAGCAGTGACACCTCAGGCATAGTGGGGAGGGGATCACCAGCCGGGAGAGACACCCTGGGGAAGGATCCCAACGGTAGCAGCTTTCCCAGCAGGCTCTCCAAGCTCGTTGCTGTGGGCAAAGCCAGCTGTGGGGAGACAGGGTGTGGGCTGGGGCTGTCCAGCTGCAGGCACCAGCTGGGAGCTGCAGCACTTGAGGCACGGGAGGGGCTGAAGCCCTGCCCACTCCCAGCTGGGAATCACTGCAGGGAAAGAGGAAGCTCTGCAGGTTTCTCCAAGGTTGATACAAGGGATAATTGAGCCCAGTGGGCAGCACAGTCCCCTTTCCTCACTGGCCAGGCAGCGGTGCAGGAAGAAGCAGGTGACTAGAACAATCTGACTTTATTGGTGCAAACACTGGGCTCAGGTGAGTGGAATATTCCCAAGTGCTCCAAGGAAGCTGTCCGAGGTGAAGGGATGCACACAGCCAGCAGCCCCCTCACTCCTAGTGCCGTGTTCCCCTTACAGAGTTCAGTCTTCGTGGATGTTGAAGAGCTTTGCTACTTCATTGAGGTCCTCGTGCTCCTCCCCGTCTTTGATGATCTGGAGGAAGGACAAAGCATTAAATCCTGCACGCCCTACAAACAGCCTGTGCTGCAGGACTGTCACAGCCAATGCCAGGAACTCTTTGGATCCTCTCTGAAGCACCAGACTGAGACAGCCACAACATGACAGCACTTTCTGCACCCAAATTCACATGGGACTCTTAAACGTACCAGCACCTGCCTACAGGAACAGCTGGAAAACCAACCTCCCTGTCCCTGAGGGATTTGTTTCTGGGTTTTCCTTTACAGCTGGGGAGAACAAGCCTCTTCAAAAAGTGATTCAGCTCTGTGAAGGTGAGCCTGGCACTGTCTCAGAGCCAGGATACCTGGCTTGAACCTGCAGCTTTCAGACAAGACCAAGAGACCAAGGACCCTGTACATTCAGATTTAGGGGAAAGGCTGCTAAGGGAAGGAAGGAAAGAAGGAAAGGATTTCCCTTCCATGGGGACGGGAGAACCAACAGGTTTCAACTGCATCATAAAGGATTCAGATTAAACTTCAACCACGAATAGCTTGTTTTGGGAGAGATCACCTGGGGATAGTGTGGGATCACTCCCATAGTTTAAACTAATGAAATTTTCCAAAGGTGTTAAAACCTGAACTCAGCCTGGCTGAGCTGACTGAGACAGACCACGGGCGTGGAGACACACCAAGCACCTCTCAGGGCTGTCCCAGCCCTGACTCTGTGGCTGTTTCTGGGATAATGATATTTGAGACTGTTTCAGGAACTTGGACACTGGACAAAGCAGCACAAAGATGGGACATTTCACTCGTGCTTCATCACTGTGATTCCAGCCTCTACTTATTACAGGCCTGGAATTTCAGCCATGCCAAGGTAAGGCTTGGAGCACACACCTCGTCTCAGTTTTTTCTGTAAAAACTTTGCACACACATGCAAAAAAGCACAAGGACAGCTCCCCTAATTCACCCAGGACAGGGTGAATTGGATACTGCCCAGCTCTGCGTCACACAGAGCATCTGCATCTATCTATCCTCACTGTGGATTGGCAGATTGATTTTTCCACAAGGAAATCCCTCCTCCATAAAGCCCCACTGTCCGTCATCCTCGTCCTGCACTGACCTTCCGAGCAATGGGCATCCTGTTGAAGATGTTCCACAACACGATTCCCACCACGACTTTATCCCTGAGGTAGAAAATGACACCTTTGCCGTAATCTTCTCCTTGCTTTGGGACTTGAGGTGTCGGTGAAGAGCTTTGAGAGATGTGAACTTCTGAGGCTTCCGCTTCCGTTTCGCTCTCGGATCGAATTCCAGTCCCTGTAAGGCAGAGACATGAGCTGTCACACACCCAGGGCAGGACATGAGATGATAAGAACTGACTCAAGAGCTGTGTCCCCCAAAAGTTAAGTTTCATTAACACAAGGATGAAACAATCCCAACAACACTGACAATTCCCGACTTCCACCTTCAAGTGCCTAGGACAGCAAAGTCCACTGCTTCTTCCAGGCAGCGAATAGAAAGTAAATGTGCTTGGATCTTCAGTCTCTCTTGTCCCAAACTGATCATTTTATTGCTGTGGAGGAGATCAAGCTTGCCTGGGAAAGTCTTCATGTCAGTAGGTGAGTTACCTGATGGCTTCTTGGAGGAATGTTGTGGTTTAATCACATTTTAATATCAAATACAGCCTTTAAAGGTTGGTCTAGAAAGAGAGCGGCCTCCTTGTGCTCTCAGAGGTCATACTGACTACGTGTGTCCACACCAACACCTGCAGGCTCCTCAGCACACCTGGGCCTTACCTGACTGCTCTGTCGCACTTTTCGGCGTGTCCTTCGCTGTCGCTTTCGCGAAGACTCCGACTGTCGGCAAACTGCTGTCCACGAGGCCAATGGCTTCGTACCCCACGTTGGGGCCCAGATCGCTCCTAGGAATCAAGTGGAAATACAGTAATCTGTAGCACTGGTGAGACAAATCCAAGGCAATTCCATCCATCCACCCTCAAATCCTTACTGCCAGCGTGGTGCGGGCGATCGCGGACGCAGAGTGACTGACACAGCGTGTCTGCTCTGCACACAGAGGCAGAACAAGGAGTCAAGACACAGCAAGGCCAAGGCTAACGCGGCCAAACAAGGAACCCCAGAGGAAGAAAGGAACGTTACCAGAACATGGACTGGTGCCAGTAGGGCTTCGCAGCTCCGGTCATGTTTTCTCCAGCCAGTCTCCCGCTCACCACGGCGTGATCGTGGTGCTCCACACGTCTCCGGCCCAGTTTGATGTCGTAGAAACAGGCAGCGTCCCCTGCCTTAAAGAGAATCACCCAGTGAGCACCAAACACCGACAGCCACAGCTTCTACTAGTGCCCAAAGAAACGCTGGGGAGACAACAAATGGAACAAGGAACTGCGTTTTTCTGACAAGCCCCAAACACCACCACTACCTCGTCCCGCTCCCTGGGCTACACGACTCCCAGTTTCTCAGTATTTTTTTGTCGATCTTTGGGAAAATAAGGCAGCATGAGGTACGTTTTCCAGAGGAATCAAAAAGTCACGACGCCCACCAAGGGACTCTTACGCAAGCGAGCGATCCAGGCTATCTTTAGGTTACCCCAACTCCTCTTACACAGCATAAATATTCCAAACTCGCCGTGGTTACCACGGCAACGAGGCGGCTGCGGTGCCTGACCAGGCTCTGGGCCTGCGCTACAACCGCTCTCCTTACTCCTCTACTCGCTCTTTTTCACCTCATCCCAGTGCACCAGCCCCACAGCTTCGTGTGTCCCGAGTTGCTGCATCAGCACAGCCAGAACGCTGTGCCCACACTCACCACCCAGATGTTGGAGCGTGCCTGCAGCTCCGCGTTCACCCGGAACCCCCCGAAGTCCGAGTCCACCTCCAGCCCCGCCGACTTGGCCAGTTCCACGTTGGGCTCCAGCCCTACTGCTGCCACGATGTGATCTGTCTCCACCTGTGTGGCAATTCGTAATTAGGATCTTCATTCCCCCCCTGCTCCTGCAAGCTTCACCCTCTCCCTGCTTTTCCATTTACCTTCCGGCCGTCCTTCAATTTAATCACCAGCCGGTTGCCGGAGACAGAGACGGACGTGACCACAGCGTTGGGCAGGACATTGACCCCCTCTGGAAACAAGCACAGGACATCTCAGTGCCTGCTCAGGGCTGGGCAGATCCCACCTGGAGCAGGTGGTTGGTGCAGGCAGATTCCAGGTGAGGAACCAAGACAGAGACCTCCTAAGCTGTGCCAGTACAGCCTGGAGGGAAGCACGAGGAGAAACCTAGGTAGAAAGTCTGAGAGAGCTGCTTGAACAATAACCCAAAGTACATGTCTGACGTGATAACAAGGTCACATCCAAAAGAATTCCCCAGAACAGGTGTTCAGGAACTAAGGACATTCAATTACCTATTGCTGTGTCTCAGCCAGACCCAGAGTCCAACAAGGCAGCTTCCAAAAAGGAAAGTAACTCAGACCTGGGGGTTATCAGGCCCCGCAATCCACACCCAAACGATATTATTCCTCCTCCCTCTATCCTGCTCCACTTTCCAATGCACAGAAATATTCTGCACTTAATGCAGCAAATGGAAAAAGGTGTCCTGGATCTCACAGGCTTTAGCAGCTATACACTACAGCACCTGGCCTGACCCAGGTGTGTGCATGGGCATAGGGACCATTCCAGAGAGGAACAGCCACAGGGAAAGCCTCACTGGCATCGGCAAGCCTGTTGGCTCA